TTTCCAGTTCAGTAAACTTGTGGATTTAATAACCAGTTTGACGAAGGTGATAGCCCTAAGCCAGTGTTTCCAGTAAGAACAATGTAATTTACGGTGTGTGCTTCCTTGTAGGACTACCTCAGCTGAAGTGTATTAGGAAAATATGTGGCGTGAAGTACAAACATATTCATGTGAGAAACCTTTGTGTAATGAGTTCACTTACTGTAAACAACAGGAAGCATTGTCTTGGTGCATTTCCCATTCTTTACTAAACCCCAGTAGCTGGCAGAGCTCCACTTTGGCTTTGCYTCGATCGCACTAGAACGGTAATTCCTGTCTAAACTCTTCCTGTTCAGAACACGTATTACAGGTAAAAGATTGAGATAGAAATTTTAGTCTTAATTTATCCGAGATGAAGAATAGAAGAGAAGAAAATTTACTTCCATGGCTCATTCAAAATGAGAAACGTACAATGCATGGTGTGAATAGACAGCCTTAAAGAGAGGGAATCAGCTCAGTATAGCAGTTCTGTAATRATGTTCATATTAGATATTAATTTTAAAAAATCTCTAATGGAAATAAACATACATTTTTATTGTGGCAGCTAAAGATGAGCAACAGAACACTTSATCATTTATTCTGTTATTATGCCACGTGCCAGTCAAGTTGTTGGTGAACCAAACAAGCAAAATATCCATTGCACAGTAATTTACTACCCTTTACTGGGGAGAATTTCAAAGCATCTAAATACAGTATACTGTATATACTGTATTAACATCTACAGTCAGCACAGAGATCTACTTTTTCTCAGATGGAATTCTTTTCAAAAAGGTAATGTAACATTTTTAGATAGAAAAAGAATGTGCTGATGAGTAAAAATGATAAAATCTCCAAATAAAAAAGGACTATTTCTCTTTTTCAGGCTGCAGGGAGCTGGTGCCTATCTCCAGAAGCCACTGTATGAGAGGCAGAGTACAAACTGGAGGTCACAAATACATCACACACAGAGACAAATAACCTTTCACACCTACAGACAGTTTGAAGTTACCAATTAAACTAACATGCATGTTTTTGGTCTGTGGGTGGAAATCGGATAACCTAGATAAAACCCACGCATCTATGCCCTTAAAAAACTCCACTCAGAAATGCCCCAGGCWGGAAGGTGATCCTGCAGCCCTGTCACTGTGAGGTGACAGCTCTAACCACTGCTCCGCCGTGTCACAGTGAAAAACACATCTCAACTGTAAACGGGC